AACACAAATAATCAAAGAACGAGCAGGGCAAGAAATAAAGTTCCACGAACAATGTCTGTGCCTCTTAACGAAGAGTAAATCTTTCCTCACTCTTGACTACACTCTTATCTGTCTTGACTACAAAATACATGCACACCCGTGCCTGTGAAGCTGTGACTACAGAGAATTCAAACCTTTGAGGTCTGGTTCTTAATATGTTAACATTTATTCTCATTTTTAAACACTTTTTAAATCAAGAGCTTACCCTTAAACTGATTTTTTTCTCTTTTAATTGGAAATATTTCAGCAAAAATTTAACATTTTTGATTAACTAAAATGTATAAAATGCTATACGTACTACAACAGTCTTTATTAAATACTTCAGTATGTTTTATTCAGTATTTTATGTACATTAACATAAAGCCACTCTGGGGTCACCTAGGGTAATTTAATTTATTTTGTTTAGCGTCAAAATGGCTCTCCATTGCTAAAGGAAGTGTTTATGAATCTTGTCCAACTTTCTTATCAGCTTATGGAGTTGGATGTTATTTTCATTCCCGTTTTACAGGTTTGAAAACAGCTGCATATATGCTCCAGGGTCAATGAGATCCAGTTGTGTGTTTAATATGTTGGCCTTCTATGAAATATTTAGACTGAACAAAAAGATCATAGCGGAAGTGTTTGAAAACCATCCCCAACACCATGCTTTCCTCTATACATAAATGCATAACAAAATCCACCAGAGTTGTAACATTTCTATTCTCAGTAAAGGGTAATTTAAATTCATTGAAGATGCAAATTTCCTAAAATACAGTTAGGTTCTAAAATATTCTTTGAGGCTTAGAAACAGTTTTTGAAATATGTTTTTATTGCTCACATTTAAATTGCTTTGATTCAAAAAATTTTAGGTGTATTCATCTTGGCTAAAAAGGTCTACAGTGGAACATAAGTAAGGACACATATAAAAGTGCGTTGTGCTTTTAAGTTGGTAAATAACAAATACCGTGTAGTAAATATGCCTGTTGGTAATGGCGGGGCTTGGTATAGTTTTCTAGTCTAAATTATAGGGAGTTGATTGCTTCAACACAGTGCGTAATTATTAAATCTTACAGGTACATATTAAAACAAAATAAGAATTAATAATGCCAGACTTGGATATATTTATGCTTACATGATTTTTATTAAAATATGTGAAATAAGCTCATTATTACCCCTATCTGTTATTAGATGTTAAATGGCTATGTACTGTTTAGCGTTGAAACTGGCACTTTTTTGTATAACTGTCAATCTCGGCAGTTTCTAATCAGGGTCACACAGGTGTCACTTTAGAGTACGAAAAGGCTAGTCTATAGTATAATTCCTTACATGGTGCCAAGGAGCTCTGTTTATCTTCCTTGAGTACAATTCCCTCTCTGTGAGCAGAGAAGCCTAATTTTTCATTCATTCTTTGAGAATTTTCATGAGTGCGCACAGTATACTTCGTACGTATCAATTTCATACTCGGCATCTCATCCCTCCCAACGAGCCCCTGCACCCTGCACCCACCTTCATGCTCTCTTTCTGGAGCTAACTGAGACCATCCAATGCTGTCCACATGCACATGTTTGTAGAGCCATTCACTAGAGTATGGAGTCTATCAGAGGTCTCCTCCCTGAAGAACACTGACTGCCTACCCCAGCTGTCTTAGCTGTCAAAGCGCCCCAGCTAGAATTGGGACATCATGACACTCCAAACCATCTGTGCTGAAAGTCTGACTGGCTTTATCTTATGCAGGTCGTATGCAAGCTTCTGTAGCTCTTGTGAGTTCTGAGTGTAATGGCTCTGTCATGTCCAAAAACCACTTTCTTGGCAGTCCTCCTCAACTCCTGGTTCTTAAAATCTTCCTGCCCTCAGGGATGTAAGAGCCAGAGGGAATCATGGGCACCAAGATCGGAGGGCCCTGTAAATCAAAATGATCAAAGCTCACATGAACTCATGGAGGGAGACTGAAGCAGCATGCACAGGGCCTGCAGGGGTCTGCACCAGGTCCCCTGCGTACATACATATTATGCTTCCTAGATAAGTGGTTTTGTGGGACTTCTGAGTTTATGAATGAGTGGGCCTCTAAATCTTTGCCTTCTCATGGGCTCCTTCATCTTGGTCAACTCTGATGAGCTAGTTTTTATTTTGTCATTTTATTTTTAATTATTCCTTATATGCTTATTTGTTTTCTAGTGAGAGACATAAAGGACATAGATCTGGATGGGTAGAGGAGGGGAAAACTGGAAGGAGTAGAGGGAGGGGAAACCATAACAGGATATATTATGTAAGGGGGAAAATCTTTTCTTTTTAAGAGATTTTAAAGAGAAAAGGAAAAAGGAAAAAACTACCTTTCTGTCTTCTAGAATGTCTCCTGAGCTATGTGGTAGCAAGGTCTAGATATCCCACTTAGGGACAGACACACCATAGTTCCTCATTCTCTGCACTCTGATCAGTGAGGTAGACACCTAATTTTAATCACCTTATGTAATTTCAGAAATTTCTTTTAGGACCATCTTGTATTGACAATTGGAGTTAACAAATATAATGTAGATAAACAGGAAGAGTGTTTTACTGTACAAAAAGAGTATGTGGATTTGGAAACATTTATCACTTTTTGCTTTTTATACTTTGAATTGTTTTGACAATGTACAAGCAGTACCTTAGTATGGTTTAATATGGTGATAAATTAATAAGAACACTTACCATCTAGTTGCTGCATTAAAAAAGAGGGAAAATACGTTTTTGTAAAAATGTAATTATAGTTTTACTAGTAGATTTTCATAATAATAGAAAATGGTTTTTGTTGTTGTTTTCAGAAAATCATATTTCCTGGCTTCCCTGCGTCCCTTCCTCCAGGTGTTGGAGTGCTAGGATGTTTCCAGAAATCAGCTTTGCATAGTTGAATATGGGAAGTAGGTTTCTTTTAGCCAAAGATGTATGAAAAATGGAAACATGTCCACAAAATAATTGTGTCACAGCTTCATCATAAAAATGCAGGTTTCTTATTTGGAAAAATAACTGGACAGTTGGTGAATATCTGGCATTCAGAGCTTTAAAAGGGCTGGCTGGGAGTGAATGCAGAAGAAAGCATGAAAAATTTCACTGGGTAAATTACTAAAATTCATGCTAAACAAAATCTGAGACGAGCTCTAGTTCCTGGGATTGTCAGTGACAAGGCATATATATAGCGCCATGGCTGTCTACGATGATTTTTTCATCAATTTTTCTTGTATGTTTTTAATGACCTCTTAAATATGGTTACCTGAAGTGTTTTTATTTCTGTTTAAAATAGCAGCATAATACTGAAAAATTATTTTCTGTTATTTTTTAATTGAAAATAAGTTTTCATTATTTTTTCCATATATCCTGAGAATGGTGTGTGTGCGTGTGTGTGTGTGTGTGTGTGTGTGTGTGTGTGTGCCTGCCCCATTCACATATATACACACATTTAAGTAAGTGTATTCAATTGTTAAATATTCAGATAGAACTGATGGCTACCCCAATAACTAAATAAGCCATACCTTGTTATTCAACTTGGGGATTAGTGTATTGTAGTTATTAAAAGGATAGTGGGCTCTTTGACCGGACTGTTACACAAAAGAAAGCATCTTCCATGTTGCCGTTCACTGGGTCTAGTGGTACGCAGTTACGTCCCATCAGTCCGTCATGATTTCCAAGATTCTCCATGAGTTTTCATTCACGTGCAATTTCACTTTTGTTACATTGAGACATGGATTTAACATTGGATGATGTCGTTAATGTGCAGTAATAGTTTCTCGTGCTACGTCAGCCCACAGCATGTTGAGCCAATTTCAAGAAAATGATCAAAGGAACAAAACTGTCATGCCATTGGGGAAAATTTGAGGCATAGACACATAGGTACTCATAAGAGATCGAAGAAGATTTTAGAATACGGCAAACATTCGAATAAAAGGAAAAACAGTCAGAGTTGAGCAGTCTCCACAGTGCTTTTCCAGACACGTAGTACTGACTATAGACTGCCTGCAGAACTCCCCCCCCCCCCATCGCTTCCAATTCTGAAATGGAATCAGTTTGCACTGTTAGGACCAACAAAGGAAATACAGCACATCATCTCTCTTCTTAGCCTCTCTTCAGGGATTCTGCGAGAAAACTGTGATAACTCAGGCTTTCCATCCATAAAGCCACACATACGGGCCTTCTCTAAACATAAAAGGATAACCAGAGTGGAGCCATACTTTCCCAATGGCTATGCAACAGACCAAGCCATCCTCTAGACACAGCAAGAGCAGGAGCAGTGGCACTAACAAATGCCTTTCGTCTGCAGAGGCACAGTGGATTGCCTTGTGTCAGGCTTCATCGGCTACCTAATGAATGTAACTCGGGAGATAAGATAAATCAAGAGGATGACACTGTATTAGATTTGAAGGATGAGAGCTCCTCCAAAGTAATAGGAGAGTGTGTATTTCAGTCCCGTTGACCTCGGGAGGTTATCGAAGTCAAGAGTCTGTGCAACAAATGCAACAAAAACAATCTTTCAAGAGCTAGGTAGCGAGTAAGTCGAGTCATGCTTATTTCTCACAAATAAACTTCCTAGGAAAAAGTGAGATTTGCCCGTTATCTCTCTCTTTCTTTTTTAAATGTAGTTTTTGTGTGTGACTTCATTATATCCCCAACTTAGGGATATTCTTAAATGAATATATCCTCTTGGATATGCATTCTATTGTGGATAGAGAGGGTATTTTACTGCTTAATATTCTTTTCATGAGTTGGTAAGTTGTTCTGAATGGAAATGCCTACAGCTCGCTGGAATGGATCATTTGTTATTGTAGTTGTGACTCTACCAGGAGACTATTGTTACTTCTGTGTAAGAATTTGGCTATTAATAAGTAATACGATATGATTTCCTTTCTTCTAACACTCTAAGCTTCCCTACTTTCCATTTATTATGTAGAGCAACTTTACATTTATGAATTAAAATATGGAAAAATACACTGTAATTGACTCCCATTCTTTTGCAGCCCACAGTATGTGAGCGAGAGCTGTGTGTATTTGCTTTTCAAACCCTGGGAGTGATGAATGAAGCCGCTGATGAGATAGCTACCGGAGCTCAGGTACCTGTGCTAATTGGGCCTGGTTTTGATTTCAAAAATTTGTCCCAATCCACTGCTGTCTTCTTGCTGTTCTTCAGGGCAGAATTCTGATAGCTTCTTCTAAAAAACAATCTGGCATTTAACTTTTTTGCTTTTAGATCTGTGTTTGGTCATTTTCTTTTTTTTACAGTAGCCTATGGGGGAAAAAAATCAAACAACTTTCTTTTAAAAATAATTGTCTTCCATGCTGAATGGTGGGAGAAACCTTGCCTGTGTTTTACGTAGTTTTATTTGTTTGCTTGTTTGTTTGTTTTGGTATAGTTTCACTTTCATGAAGTGGAAGCCTATTCTGTCTGTCTGTCTCTCCATCCTTCCATCCATCCATCCATCCATCCATCCATCCATCCATCCATCCATCTCTCCCATCCACCCATCCATCCATCCATCCATCCATCCATCCATCCATCCATCCATCTCCTGCTCAGGATGTCTTGGAACTTGCTATATATATACCAGGGAAGCCTCCAACTCATGGAGATCCTTCTGTCTCTGCCTCCCAGGTGCTAGGATTGAAGGTATGAGCTACCAGGCCCAACTTTTTGTTGTTGCTGTACAGTTACATTAGGCCTGTTCATTGAGACAAGATCCTGGTGTGTGTCCTGAACTGGCCTTAAGCGAAACTTGTAAACTTACTGCCTTAGTGTCTCCAGGGCTGGGATTATGGTTATGTAGAATCATGTTCCACTTCCTGTGCATTTTTAAAATGCTAGTCTAAAATCTTTTTGGATGTAGATTTCCCTATTTATGTCCACACTGAATTACAACTGTTCAGATGAGCTCCTTCTGTCCAGGAAGTACCAGTGTTTCTTTATTCAGTTTCCAGAAACAGCACACTAGTCTGGGACCTCGAGAAGGGAGGCAGCTTACTATAGACGGTGCTGTTTCTTTATATATGAGAGGCAAGGTGATTTCTAGTAATTTGCTTTTCCTAGAACATAGCAAATTTGTCATGGCTATGTGGATTTTCTAACTTGGAGTAACCTCCTCCCCGTTGTGCCAGGTCTCTAAGATAGCTCCACAGCTTCCTTATGCATCATTATCTAATGCCTACTTCACTGTCGTTCCATTCAGCAACACCAGATATTCCAAAGAAGCATGTGTTCCTTTAATATCTTGTCCATTAACAGCACCCTAGCACAGACCTGTCTTGTTCATCTTACCATTGACTCTAGAACAATGCCATCACACACAGAGTGCTCATGACAAACAACACTCACTAGCAATCAGAGGCAACACAGGCTTGCTGTTTTGAATCAGTGGTCCAGTTTTGGCCAAGTTTGGTATAAATTCATGAACTAGTGATTTGAGAGGTGGGTGGCAGTCCCAGGACTTTCTGATTACATTGGGCTGCCATGAGCAGGATGGATAGTAGCAGAACGTCTGATAGAACCTGGATGTGACTCATCCTGTCTGTTTTCTAAGGTGGTAGATCTGCTTGTGTCCATGTGTAGATCTGCGTTGGAATCTCCTAGAAAAGTCGTCATTTTTGAGCCATATCCTTCTGTGGTAGATCCTAATGACCCTCAGATGTTAGCCTTCAACCCCAGGGTAAGTGGTTCCCCAAGCCCACCGTGCACAAAGCTCCCGAGAACCACAACGCAGACGTTAGTCTCATTGCTGTTGTTCCCCTGGATGTCTGTCTTGTCAAGTGTCTCCATTGTGATTTTAAGTTCATCGTGTATTCTTTGGGATTCCATAATCTGACTGGAATAAAAGGAACATGAGTCACGGGATAGCCCCCTTTTTTTCTTTATCACATTAACCCCTTTCCCTGTTCTTTCTCTCCATCTCCCCAGGAGATAACAGCAGTTAAATCCGTATTGTTAAAAGTCTAACCATTTTATAAACACAGCAGAATTTTTCTGAAATAACAGAATTTCAAATTGATTGAGAGCCAAGATTGCTTTAGTGTGTATTATTGTTGTTCATCTTGAAACTGTATGTGAGAAACGAGTGTACAATGCACTCTCATAAGACCTTTCCCTTTGTGTTTACTTTCTGCATAGAAATGAGGGATCACTTGAGCACACACTGTCACCTTACTCTTTGGGTGACAGTGTTCCAGTCTAAAATTAAAGCAGCTGGGAGATTTGAAGTATTATCTTCTCCCAAAAGGATTCTAAGCTTACTTTATTGCTTATTGCTTTCGTGTGGTGAAAGCCAGAATCAAGAGCCCAAAACCTTCTTTTTGTATTTCAAGATTTTATCCCAGTGAGGTGAACATTATTTTGTGCCCTTACATAAGGAATAACACTTGAGTTTTTCTTCCCTTTGATTCTAGATATCAACCCTCTGTCCTTGCACCATCTTATTACACACTTTTGTGTATCATTGTTTGCACATTCACTTTGATAGAAAATGTATGTACTGAAATAGTATATTTCTCTTGTGATATTTGACTTGCAAAGGCCCGTAAGTGAATGGTGACTTTTTTTTTCTTTTGACTCACAGAAGAAGAACTATGATCGAGTAATGAAAGCTCTGGACAGCATAACTTCCATCAGAGAAATGACACAGGTAAGAAAGTGGTCTTGTACTCATGTATGGGTGAGTCTGCATGAGTAAAACACTATTTTAAAAATGTTTTCAGAAGAACCCCATTATGGAATGTTTGGTTTTTTTTTCTCCTATATAAGACATAATTAAAATCATAAAAGTGTACTAGGATGGCTTAATTCAACTCTGCCTGTGTCTTCCTGTGGTAACACTGAATTTAAAGAATAAATGCATAATTGTAATATTAATATTTTGTTCTTAAACTTGAGTAAATTCCTTGAGTACTTGAAGTTAGCAGGATCTTTAAAAATAAAGTTTAAACATAATAGTAAAATAGTCTTTTAATACTAACTAAAATAATAAAGTAGTAAAATAAATAAATAAAGTAGTCTTTTAATACTAACTGGTGCTAATAATTTTAGACACTATTTTCAGTGTTAAAAAAAAGACAGATATTTGGGTCAATAGAGACTGATGTTGCATGTGTACAACCACATCTGGCTACAGCTACTCTGTTGTTGGTCTGGGTTTATCTTTTGTTTGTTTCGTTTTTGTTTTGGTGTGTGTGTGTGTGTGTGTGTGTGTGTGTGTGTACATATCAACTAGCTTAAGCCTGCCTTCGATTTGCTATGTAGCTAAGGATATGTTGAATTTCTGATCTTGCTTTATCTATCTTGCAAGTGATGGGATTACGAACATACGCCACCACAGTAGCTCTACAAATATCCTCTCTCTTCCCCGTCTCTTTCTTGTATGTTTATGTGACTGTGTGTTTGTGTGTGTGTGTGTTCATGTGAGCTCACCAGTAGATTGATTTAGAATCATTCTTTAAGATACAAATTCCAGGACTGGAGAGGTGGCTCAGGGGTTAAGGGCTGTACTGCTCATTCTCAGCACCCACATGGCAGCTCACAGATGTCTGTAGCTCAAGACACACACACACACACATGCTCACACACATACACACACACACCACACACACCACACCACACACACACACACACACACACACCCCAAAACAAAAACAAAACAAACATAAAATAAGCCCAGCCCAATAACAAAGAATACTTGTAGTCAGTGGATCTGACTGTCTCATACAGACATACTTGCAGACTTAACACCAATGTACATAAATAAAAATATAAAAATTAAAAATATAAAACATAGAAAATTCATCAGATATTATAGGTGTATCACAGAACTTGTAACTACTTTGGAATTGACAGTCCCCCTAGGAATATTCTTGTCTTTTAGGGACGCTCTGGTGAAAAGCTGTGTTGAGTAAAGATCTAGGTTTAGTATGCGACTTCCATATTCCTGTGCCACAGCTTAGCACTTGGTAGCGTTCTTGCCACTGAAGTACTGAGGCCTTTTCACTACCAAGAAGTTGGAATTGAGATTTAAAAATCATCATCATCATTGGAAATTAGTAATCCAAAATTAATATTATATCTTGTATAAATTTGCATGGGTCCTTTCTAGGCTTGCCTTGTGCTAGCCCACTGTGAGTGAGGGATGAGGACAACCTGGGGTCATTCATTCTCTCTGTGGAAGGAAGTCTTCTGCCCAGATTCACTGAGTTTCTCTATACCTCTCACACAGGGCTGTCTGCACTCCTCAACTGAACATTCTCAAGTGGACATTTCACAGTTCCAGTTGACCAGTATTCATTCATTGATTTGTTCATTCATTCATGCATACATTCATTCATTCAAGAGTCGGTGTTAGACAGTGGTACATGCGAGTTCCCATACTTCACAAGTGGTACCATTTGTTTTGTTTTAAGTCCCCCACTTTTAAGTCACTTCTTTAAGTGACTATTGTGGGCTTATAGCTTGCAGTGTCATCTGAATTACTTTTCAAATAACACGCGTTTGTGTGAGAAAGGCAAGTACAAAGTGCATTTTCCATAGGAATGAGAAAGGAGAAATAATGACACATATTAAGTGAAGATAAATATTTTTTAGTCATGATAAAATTTTTGGTATGGAATATTTATGATATTCTTCAGAGTCTAGATTCTAGATGCACATGTCATTCCAGGATTTAAACATGGCTACAAGCTCTGACTCTAGAATCTGCTCGCTGCCAAAAATTGCTTCCTTTATTCTGGGTGATGTGTAAACTATTCTAACTGGAGGCAATAGAGACGTTGAAGTGTCAACCTAGGAAGTTTAGAGGCCATAGTTGCATAACTGCCTCAGCACAACATGCCTCATGACCTTGGACAAATTGCTTAGTTGCTGGAAGTCTTGGTATTTTCACTATCCAGTTAGGAAAAGCAACTGCTTCTCTGTCTGTCTCTGTCTGTCTTTCTGCCTGCCTGCCTGCCTGTCTATCTGGTGCAGAGTGGCTTTATGGGCAGGCTGCTAGGTCTTAAAGAATAAAGTTATTTAATCTTTCTTGCAATATTATACTAGTCCATGTTTTAAAGCTAGCTCTGAACAAAGAAGTTAGAAGTTGTTCCTTGATGGGTAATAAAATGTTTAATCTGGCAGTAAATTCCACTTAATTTGTCTTTTGGAGAAGAGTTGTTACATAAATGGTCTTCAGTTTTCATACAGCAATAGATCATGGCTCTGTGTCTTCTTTTAATATGAAAATTCAAGGCGTTCAGTATCAAAGAGAAAAGATTGCAGGATGCTTTGCCAAGGGGTGGGGCACTTTCTCTTTCGAGCACTGCTGCAGGGGAAGGGCTGCTGCAGGAGCTCAACTTCTTCCCAGCCACTCTACTTCAACCCCAAGAGGGGTAAGACTTACAAAGAATGGAAGACACTATGAGGAAGAGATAGTGCAGGGAGATGAGCCAAGGAGAATGATGTAGAAATGGAAGATTCTAGAAGAAGCTAAGTAGTAACTCACTGCAGGTAGTATGGAAAAGTTGGTGGCTTTGCGTCTTCTCAAGAGCGACACAGAGGAGAGTGTGTGTGGGCAGGGGAGGGGGCAGGCAGTTTCCACGGCTAGGGACTCACTTCTAGTAATCTAATGAAGGTAGAATCCAGGCTAAAATTGGATCAAGTTTTTCATCTTATTTTTAGTTTAAAAACAATCATATGATGTTCTTATTTTTAGTTTAAAAACAATCATATGATGTACCCCTTCTGTCTCCTTCCCCCTGTCTCTTTCATGTCCCACCCTAAGCACACTCCCTCTCAAATTCTCAAATTATGGCCTTTGTTTTTCTCAATTATTGTTGTCTTACACACACATGCACACCACTAGATATATGAATGCAATTTGCTTGAGTGGTTAGTGTTGCTTTTATGTTTGTTGGATTGACTGCTTGGTGTTGGATACCCAGGGGAGGACGCATCCCTCAGGACGACTCCTTCTTCCTCTACTAGTAGTTGTTAATTACTATAGCTCCTTTCTGAGGAGTGGGACCCCGTGAGATTTCTCCCTTTCACGAGTGTGAACTGTTGTTGTCTTTGTTCAGGTCCTGTGTTTAGGCAGCCATATTGTTGAGATTACCAGGATGTAGCTTCCTTATTATATGTGAAGGCACAGTCTCCCAGCAGGCTCTCTTACAAATGGTCCTCTGTTTCTTACAAATCATTCTAACCCCTTTTCTATGATGTTCTTTGAACCTTAGATGTAGGGGTTGCATTGTAGATTTATCAATTGGGGCTGGGTACCACATGATCAGTTATTATATACGTTTTGACCTATCCTGGCTTTCTGGAATGAGCTCCATCTGTTGCAAAGAAAACTTTTTTTTGTGTGCGTGTGAGAGCTACAGTTACCTAAGAGTGCAAGTATTCAGGATGAAGTCAGACATTATATTGATTTGGGAATGTGGCAACAGCATGTTCACCTCTAAGATGCATGACCTCACAAAGCATGGATAGGTTAGTTGGTTTGGTTTCCAATACCAGAGATAAATTCTCTCCTTTTAAAGAGACCCTATGTCCAGACTACTATTGATTATTATCAAGATACGAGTGCTACTATTGCACCAGTAGGGATATCTTGTAATGCTGGGTTATCGTTGTGGTTCACAGGCTTCACAACTGGGATGGACTATAGGTTGCTTTTCTCCCTTGGCAGTTTAATAGCACCATTTGGTACTATGAAAGCTACTCCTCAGAGAGCAAGCTTTCAGGTCAGATCCAGCACAAATCCTCTGAGTCCTTTGTCCTTTGTCCAAAGTACACGGTGTCTTCCGCAATAACCTTCAACTTCTGAGAAGTAACCAAGGACAACAGTAATAGCCCATATTGTTTTAGGAATCTCTTGATCTCCTCTGTTGGTCAAGTCTCTAAAAGCTAGGAGGCAAGTCTGTTCATGATTCCCTTCCCCTTGTGTGAAGAGGATAATTGGCTATTCTCGTGCCTAGTCCAGACAGGTTTTGTTTTAGCTAGACTAGACTACATCACTTAATCATCTGATTCTCTTTTTTGGTTGGGGGTAAAAAGTGAATTTTAAAGAAAAATGAAAGAATGGAATTTTATCTTTCAGGCACCCTATCTGGAAATCAAGAAGCAGATGGATAAACAGGACCCCCTTGCTCATCCACTTCTGCAATGGTATAAGATTGTGTAGTTTTTTTCTCTTAGTAAAAATCAGTAGCTCTTTCTGTTTCTAACTGGGAGGGACTGTTTCGTAAGCCCTGCAAAGCTGCATTCTACAAGCCTGTGATACCTGGTGATTTTTTTCCACCCAAGAGTCTTTAATGACTCTCGCTTTAATTAAAACTAGTATATCACAAGAGGGGGAAGATGCTGTTGTGTGCACACCTAGGAGCACACAATGCATTTGACAGCGGTTAGTTTACAGTCTTAAAGGATACGCTTAATTGGATTATGTGCTGAAAGCATTTTGTTTCCTTTAATTTTCTAGTTCAGTGAGGACTTGGTGATAAAACTTAATCCTTTTCAGTCCTTTTCAGTGGAAAAAAATATTAAAATATGCTTTAGATATTTTTTGAATTTGCCTGACTCTCTACTTGACCACTGCAGAAGATGTACTGTTTAAGGGTGAGCCTTGATAAAGGACACAACATTTAGGCCCAGCCTGTATTCTAGGAGGACTCTAAAGCAGAGAGGAGAGGCAACCTAAAGAACACACCTTGCTTGGATGCCTGCCTCAAGTAGTTTATCCTGTTTCATATGCAAAGACTAGACAATTAGAGTTTATAAGGGTTTTGTGTACATGGCTTTTTTGAATTAAATAACGTTACCATGGTTATTCTAGTGTAGCACAAATACACATATTACAAGAGACCAGTCTATGTAAACACTGAGAGTGACAAGCAGTAGATGAGGAACTGTCAGAGGGCAAACTGAGAGGGGGATAATGACTGGACTGTAAAAAAAAGATTAAAGATAATAAACAAACAAACAAAAAAACCTGTGATCAAACAGACAAGAGTCCAGTTTCCTCGGATTTCTTATTACACTTGCTTACTAAAATTTCATAGACCATGTGATCTAATGAGACCATGACAAACTTTAGTTATAGGAATTTGCCTGCTCTATTAGGATCTGTCATTAAAATACTGACAGATTCAGAAAAAAAAAGATGACATTTTAAAAGTCTCATATTTTCTAATCATACTTAAGGTTAAAGTAAGAAAATAAACAACTGGAATTTTGAGGTCCCAGATTGCTCACCCGATGACACAGGAAATTGGGATCCAGTGTTAGGAAGGCTTTGATTCATTAATAAAAGAACTAGAGAAGGAGCTGAAGCAGAAGCTGGGGGTGGGGGGAGAGCAGGACAGCTGAGATGTAAAACCCGCAGCAACTGCCTGGGGGAAATGGAGGGCAAAAAGACGACAGATCATGCCATTTAAGCTGGCCTTGAAGTCAGATATATGGTGGACAGGAAGCCATGGGGTGGGCAAAGAACGTTAGGCAAAGAGTGAAGAAGGCTCAAATGTCATGGGCAAAGCCAAGATATTGAGGAAATCATGCTTAGCAAAAGAGATAGAAGCACATTACACTTTTCTGAATAAGAAAAGTGAAAGAATATAATGATTTTATCTTACTGCCCTGGGGCCCAGTAAAGCTACTGCACTAGGAGTGGGCATTCTGGGAAGGAAAAGTACAACATCCCGTTAATGCATTGGTTATTCCTCTCTCTGTGGCATGTCTTTAGTATGCCTTCCTAAAGGTGGTCTTTTGGTCAAACCTTTTGTACTCTCCTCTATTTTATACACAGTAGACTATGAAACATATCATGGTTTCAAGTGCCTGGGTGAAAATGGTCAACTTTAGTGTCATGCATGTTGACTTTTGTGGATAAGCCACATCAACTCTTGTCAACTCAAAAATATCCTTACCTGTTTGAACAAACAGAATCTTTATTGAAAGCCATTCTTCATCCAGGAGATGTTGGAAACAAAATGATCAGGGCCATGGATCAGCTTCTCAGAGATAGACTGTCATTATTTGAAAGTATTGAATTTCTAAAATTGTTCATGTCGCTAATATTTAGGGTTGTGCTTTTTTAAAATGACATCTTCACAAGTTTTATAGTACTATCTCTTTTTTTGTTGTTATGTAAGCTCCTTAGATTGTGTTAGTAAGTAAACCATACTTACGTAATCAACTGAAAAGCATTACTGAATTTTGTTTGCGGTGCAGTAAAACTACCTTTGTATCCTTTGCTGGTTATCATGAAAACAGTCAAGATATTTGTCACGTAGTTGTGACTCACTGATCATTTCCATTTCAGGGTCATCTCAAGTAATAGGTCACATATTGTGAAACTGCCAGTCAACAGGGTAAGTTGTGTTTTCATATAAATGGGAGAAAGTGTTAGCTGGGAGGACTGGCCACTGTGGTTCTCAGGCAGCTTGTCCAAAGCTGGAGATGACCCAGCTCAGTTCTTCAGTTCCCTTTTGTGCATGAGCTGCAAACCCTTTTGAGACACCAAACCTATATCCAGTGTGCACCCTGCCCTTTTAAATGAATGAAAAAACACCAATATGAGAGAATGTATTCTTCCTAAAAGAGTTGGAAAAGTGACATCTAGGGAGAGATTGTACATCAAGAGTTCTGCCTATCCATATTTGAAACGCTGGATGCAAACCCCTTGGTTGTAAGCCTATGTAGTGTTTAAACAATCTTACTGAGAAGCTCGTGGTCCCTGACTGCAGTGCTCATCGCTAAGAGCAGCATTGAAAACTCTTCTCTCCTTACTTTCAAATCTCCACATGGGAGATTGCTGCATGTTACGCTCCCGGGTAAGTATCCAAGCAGACAGGGAAAGAGTTAAGGAGTTGAGTCAAGCAGTTCTCCTGATCTTGTCCCATGGTTAAAGAGCCAAAGCGTGAAAATAAAGCCAAAGGATGGTCTTCATTTTAAAATTTTGCATTGACTCCAGAATGATTTTTTTTTTTGGCGTGGAGCTGCTAATACATGCCCTGAACTCTGTAATAAAAGTCTTAAAAAGAAACGTCCTCGAGAGCAGTCCATTGTGAACATGACCAGGCAATGGACTCTAAGCATCAATGTCTTGGGCTTGACTAACACTTCTTGCTTTGGCTAGTCCAAAGAAGTTGCTTCCCATGCTTCCCATGGGTATTTCCATGTGAAGTCTAACTTAAGAGCATTCCTAAAAAATATGTAGGGTTTTAAACCAGTCCGATAGAGTCATTAGTGTAAAATCAGATAACTTAGATAATCCCTACGCAGGCAAAATATTGACATAGCATTGCTTACTATTCCTTTGCATGACAGCAACTGAAGTTCATGCACACTCCACACCAGTTCCTCCTTCTCAGCAGTCCACCAGCCAAAGAGTCCAACTTCAGAGCTGCCAAGAAGCTCTTTGGGAGCACCTTTGCGTTTCAGTGAGTATGGCTGTGCAAGGGACCGGGGGTGGGGGGGGGGTCCACCCGGTCTCCCAGTCTTCCGAAAGTGAAGGGGGAGAAAACAGTGTCTCAAAGGTTGACACTGACAAAACAGCCATTTGAATATTTAATTTGGAAACTCAGAACTTTCAGAAGCATCATGGCTTCTTACGTGGAAACCAATTGTAGAGATACCTGACTTTCTGCCTTTGCCTTTTTCCTTCCCCACTTCTGTGGTTTAGTGGCTCTCACATTGAAAACTGGCACTCTATCCTGAGGAATGGTCTGGTCGTTGCCTCTAACACGCGTCTACAGGTAACATTTTTACATGTTTTAGTAAGAGCCCATTTATTCATAAAGGGGAGATATGAGCTCTAAAGCGTTTATTTAAAATATTATCCAGAATTTCTAATAATGATGAGCACATTTTCACAAAATAACTGAAGTGAGATTTCGATGTCTGACAATGAAGGGTTCTCCAGGAGAAAGAGTGAAAGTCACACTTTGAAAGTAAGAACTAAAATTAGACAGTGCAGAAGGTAAAGGCATATTTTCCATCCACTTTCCTAAAGCGTATTTCTTTAGTACTGTGCCTCAGTGTGCCTTAATTTTGCTTATTCCTCTTCAAGTCCATACCTCCAAATTACATTTGACCCAGCATAAGTGCGCTCTCATTTTAGTTAGTCCTAATGTTCCTTAGCACAAAGACACAAGGAGAGAAACAGTCCAGCCTCGTCAGTCACCTGAGCCAGTTGTCACTGTACAGTAACAACACAGGGGACAGAATTAACTATGCTTGTGGGCAAGCTTAAACCCACTGATTTGATAGGAAGATCTTAGTCCTAGCATGTGAGGACCCTAGAAATGAGATTGAAGAATTTGAAATGTTCTGAAGAGTTCCTCTTTCTACCACTCAAAATGTTTCACATAATGCAACTCCTTTTAACTAGAAACACTCAGTGGCAGAGTGGACTGGCGGATGAGGTACACGATGATCTGTGTTCATACTGCAACTTGTGATGATCCTGAGAATGTCTCTCCAGGCTCTTCAGCAAGTCTCACTTTTAGAATTTTAGATTCATTAGAAGAAGAACCGAGAATAGTCCTTTGTGACTAATGACTGTCTTTATTACTGGTCGAGTGGAGAACATTCTTCTGCTCTTTTTTCTCTCATTTTTTTTCTTTATCAACTCATTCCAAACAAGACAGTGGTGCTCTTCTTACATTTGATCCAGCATAAGTGTCCTATCATTTTAGTAAGACCTAATGTTCCAACATGAAACCGACTGCCCTCTTTTGTATGATGTTAATTCAAAGCACTGACCGATGTCCTCTCTCTTACACGTCACGTTGCAGCTCCACGGTGCAATGTACGGAAGTGGGATCTATCTTAGCCCGATGTCAAGCATATCGTTTGGTTACTCAGGTAATCCTGCACTTCATTTTTAATTTCAGGGTTATCACTTGATGAGATGGGGGATGTCAGAGTTAAACTGGAAGCATATTTTGTAGGGAGCCTGGAAATTTTTAAGCATGGAAAGAATGATTTCCTTTTTATTGGCATTGAACAATTCCTTGCATAGTGGAATTTTTATTTGCATTTTTAAAATTCGACTATGGAGTAAGTAAACACTTTTTAAATAGATTCAAATTACACAGAATTAAAAAGGAAAGCAAATAACAATTTATCATGATTGCCCTAATATCTTAGTATCAAAATTCTTTACTTCTGCAGGAGGTAGGTGTGTGTGTGTATGTGTGTGTGTGTGTGTGATCACACTGTACATTTCCAGGAAATGTTTTACATATGGTTCCTGAATGCTAAATCTTAGTATTTCCAAATTGCAGGCAATGATACTTAGAGAAATCTGTAAACTAGGAGACCATTAACCTGGTCCATCTATCAGTTCATTAGTCAAGGTCTATGCAAATTGAGTCATAATAGCTTGCTTTTTAGTGGTGATATAAGTTGAGTACTTACACAGATACTTAAAAATCTCACTGATAGAAAAGACAATAGAAGGCTGATGGAAAAAATGTAAATATATAATCAAGAATTGTAATTAGGCAGAGTTAAGTACCATGTTACCACATGACTACTATTGCTTGGCAAGTTGACTTACATATAAAGGGAAACAACCCCTTTATTCTCTCCCTGGAGTCTTCAGATCAGTGAACCTAGTGAATCAGTTTATCATGTGACTTTTCGGTTTCTGAAAGCATCCACTGTGTAGCACTCAGCTGGGAGATGGGTTGTTCTGGTTGCCTGACTCCAGGCCAGACACTTGGTGGGTGGGAATAAGTTGGAACTGATACCAAGTTCCTTAGCTGTGGCTGATCGAATTTGGTGAACCCAAAAGCATTGAACTTAAACGTTTCCAGAGTGTGGAGAGCATCAGGCAGCTTCTGTGTGGCTTTTCTGATCTTGTTTCTCAAGTTGTATAAGATTGGCGCACACACACAGACACACACACACACACTTACACGCACAATCAAGGCCATCCATCACAAACCCTTCCATTCTCTCTGTTGATATTATCTGTTGATGAAGGAATGACAGGTTATATAGTAACAGATCAAATATGTTAAGAAATACTGTTATAAACGGGGCTGGGGTTGGGGTCTTGTGTTTGTGGATCCCATTCTGCTAACTGGGCTGCCTCGTCTGACCTCAGTAGGAAAGGGTGGGCCCATTTCTGCAGTGACTTAATGTGCAGGAGTATGGGGGGATGAAAGAGGTGATAGAGGAGGGACTCCCTCATCTCATAGCAGAAGGGGAGGGGGAATTGGAGAGGATCTGTGTAAGGGGGTACTAGGAGGAGGGGGACTGACATTGGAATGTAAAGTGAGTAAATAAATTAATAGAAAAGGAAATACTGTTATAGTGAGACATCGACAGAACACTAAAGATAAGTGTCTGATGGACAAAATAGTATTGAGACAGGCAACGGGAAAGAACTAAAATCAGATTTAAAACTAAATACTGTTTAGCCAAATAATACATCATCAGCATAGGTAGTAAAAATGACAAAAATTTTAAAAATCAAAATTTTTTTTATTTCTGCTTCTTATGCTAGTACATAGAGTCCTTAAACAGGATTGTAGAGGCAGCTGGGAGGAGACTAGGTAGGTACAGAGGAATGAATGTGAAATTTTGTCTTTGTGTGTGCATTTATCTAGAAGAGAGTTAATAGCTTTTATCAGAATCTGAGAGGCTCCTGGCATATTTCTAAAAGGAGGACTTAAGGACTTGGGATGTAGCTTGGTGACAGAGACCTTGAATTCTGTCCCTAGCTCAGGTTCGGGCAAGGGGTAGGGGTGTAAAATCTCCAGAGATAGATGAAGTTGTGGTTGGTTTTGAGGACTGAAGACATAGAGCCTAGACCATGGAACAGCCCTGCACGCAGTGCTTTGCCGTTCCACCCGTTCTACATGTCAGGTCTGTTCCCACCTACCTGTGCAACTTCCAGAAAATGCTTGGCTTGGAAAATGTCAGACAAACTTACTTTGGAAATTTCTGAACAGCTCTGCTCCTTAGCACTGAGATACTCAGTGAAATTCAAGAATGTCTCAGTTTCTGGTGTGGTAGTGTGTCAAACGTTGTCATAGATTCAGTTTCTGCATAGTCTACAATGAAATAGACATTGGTTCTCTTTTTTCTAAAATATTTCACAGCAGAACATTATATCATGACTTCAATAAAGCAAAAGCTAAAAATTAATGATTGAGCATAGACAAAAGAACATACAATTTGAGTTAAAAAGATTGTAATTTCTCCACAGAAGCGAGTGTATATTAGCAGTTCTCAATGCCATGGTGAAATGTCGCTTTTCTCCTGTCTGAATTTTCCAGTCTGTTTTTGTCCTGGTACTCAACACACAATACAGATGGAAGTTAATTCTAAGTCACTAAACATTTTAAAATCAACTTCTATGAGTACTATAATTAAAGTGTATACAAAATAATTTTCTATCCCCATTTTCAATGTCAAGAACAAACAGAGATTCCTATTTTACAACTCCTCTGGGAGTTCCCAGACATGCAGACCATCAGCTCTGGGGTCTGAGGTACAAGTGAGCCTATTGTGGCTATGTCTGGATTGGTGTAATTAGGCTTCTGTCTACAGTACAACTTTTGACACACATCTATTGTACTTTCATTTTCTTCAGTCAGCTGTGTCTCTGAGTTACTACTGTGCTGATATTTTCCAGGGATGAACAAGAAGCAGAAGGTGTCAAGCAAGGACGAGCCAGCTTCCAGTAGTAAAAGCAGCAATGCATCACAGGTACTGTCAGAGGGTAAACAGTGAACTCTAGCTTCATTAGATAGCAGGATATTGATAAATACTGAAGATTATTAAGGCTAAAAGTGTACTTTAAGTCATCATTACTTACGATGGCGTGAAACTCACTCTAAATGCAAAACATCATTGCATGTAGGTAATAATTAATATACATTCATGAACACACACACACACACACACACACACACACACACATATCCTGGTGTCTCACTGTACTAGCAGAGTCTAGACTCTGGAGAATAAAACTAGATTACTACTCCTGTCTTCTTTACAAAACAAACTATAAACATGCTTAAGACAATGGACTATTAAATGACAAAGAAAAAGACATCACAGAAAGGGCTGTTTAACGTTATAGAGAAGTTAATACTAGAGTGAATGCCACATAGCACGGTCAGGAGAAAATACTTCTGAGAAGGATTGCCTTTGAGTATAGCATTAGAGATAGAAAGCACGTGAGCCACATGTCTCTGAGAGAAAGAACACTCCAGACAGAGAAGAGTGGAGCCAAATTTCATGCTTTTGTAAGAATATAAGAGTATCCTGGGGAAACTAAAACTTATCTGATGAATAATGTACTTTGATTATCTAATATCTGAAAATAAAACCGACTTCTATGTGAAGGGCTTTTGAAACCTCTGTGGCTTAGTAAATGTTGCTGTCAGTGTGGGTTGGCTTTGCTGGTCACATTATCTCGAGTGGTTGATTTTAATGTTTGAAAACCTCATGCAAATTTCATTGTTTGCCTTGATATAAATTTGTCAGCCTCACAGGTAAACCTAACTTTGAATTCTATGTATGTGTTCTGAGACTACTGAACTCTGTCTTAACATCGCTTCAGTTCACTGGCCTCATGAGTGACTTGACAAAGATTATTTACATCAAATGACGTAACAAAAACAGCTGGAGGTTAAAAGAATGCATAGCTCTTGGTAGATAACTCTCCACAATTGTCTTATTGGTTCATGTTTATTAGTGACAAGCACTTGTTGTCAGTGCTTACTAGTGTACCCTATTTTCATCTTAACTCTAATTTTTCAATTGTTTTATGATTTAGTCTCAGAAAAAAGGACAGCAATCCCAGTTCCTGCAGAGCCGTAACTTGAAATGCATCGCCTTGTGTGAAGGTGAGTGCCTCGGCCTGACATCCTACCTTCGTATTTCAGAACTGAAGTGTGTTTACAGAGAGTTCATGATGAAGTCGTGGAGTATTGTTCCTTAAGACCATCTCAGAGGGAACGATGGGAAATGAGCATAACTGAGATCATAGAGGCTAAAATCAAAGTGCAGAATTGGCATGGGTTCCGACAGGGTCATATTATTCCTGGCATATTTTTCCAAACGTAACTCAACTTTCATATAGTGTATTGCTTATTTGTTCTTGTGGTGCTTCCTCTTCAAGTTGGTGCTTGACTATGTAAAACAATGAAAACTTTGAATGAGCTGTGCACCAAGAAGATAACACAATAGGACTTTCCATTACTCCAGGGAAGGCATTTCATTCTGAACTCAGTGCAGAAAGATTGACAGATAGTTTGGAAGATCATAGGGTTTCCTTTGTTCTTGCTCTAATGTCTGACAGGCTTCAAGTCATCTTATCTTTCTGAGTCAAGACTTCCAGTAGCTTTTAGTGTCTTGTCTCAAGTGTTCTACACCTGATTGTTATGTGTGACAGTAAGTTGCTGTCTGTGCTCTCAGAACCTATTTGTTTCTGATAGTAGTCAAATGATTTCTTTAATTGTGAAGTAGTCTTTTGTTGATTTCATTTCAATTTATTGATAGCTGATATGGTTATATGATATGTTTGGCTGATATGACATTCATTTTATGTTCATTTGGACAACTATTTTTGCCTTTAGATTTCATAGAGAAGGACAATAGTTACTTCAATGGAGTTCCTTTAGAATGGAATTCCTTTAGAATGGAATAGGTCTTTAACTATGTCTTCCACTTACAGTGATCACATCACCTGACCTGCACAAACATGGAGAGATATGGGTTGTCCCAAACACGGATCATGTCTGTACACGATTCTTTTTTGTGTAAGTCTAAATGCTCAGATTTTTACATTACTGTGTTTTCTACAAATGAAAGAGTTACTGCAGTATTATTTTCTCACTTTAGCTGCCAAATGTAACAGACAAATAATAGAACTTCTCATGGGTCTAATGATTGTTACATCTCAATAAGCTTACTGAGGAAGGTGGTGTTTACAAGCTGTTAATCTATAAGAACTAAAGGAAAACCATCTATATGTGTTTTAATGATGAAAGATTTTAGAATTGCGGATAGAGAAGGTGATGATGAAAATGTTCTATAAAAATTAATGAACATTTCATTGTAGGCTGGCAAGGTATTGAATGTTGGCCTGTGTGTTTGTTGGCACACAAGTAGAAAAGCATTGTTTTCATCCCAAATCCATGGATGCAGTAAGCTGGCCTGAGTTTTCACTCCATCTTTGCCTCTGTAGTCCCATTTCCTCTGCCTGGCCATAGTTCTTTCCTGACCTTGGCACAGGATAGATTTTAGGAACAAACTGCATGGTTGGTTCTGTAGTTTATGCAGTATCTAAAAGCAAGTCGAAAAGTGATGTGGGTTCCTTTATGTCAATGTGAAGGCATTAAAATTTCTTCAACCCATTATAAGTCCACAGAACCCATGTGTTTCATATTTGGATCCAAGAGCATGTGGACAACTTGTCCACAGTGAGAGATTCTATGGAAACTATGATTTTCTTACAGCATTTATTCACTGGCTACAGGTTTCACAGCAATGGGTATATTGGCCCTGGTTTGATAGGGGAGTTTGAGTTCCAACTCCACAGAAATTAGGAAGAACAATCACCAGGTTGTATAAGCTCTCTTAAGCGTCATCAACAAAATGAGAACAGTATGCCTACCTGCATCACTTTGATACTCAACAGCAAGCAGATGGCTCACAGAGAACATTGGTTCTTTTATTACCTACAACTAGATGATTTGCAAAGGTATAGCTGTGGGGCCTCAGCACATCTAGAGTAGCACTTTGGATCTAATAGCTGTAGGATTGTTATACATCCTCAGGTCCAGATTGCTGAGTCAGGAAGAGGTCCTTTGGCAGGACCCGTACTTGACCAAACTCTACTCAAAGTGGAGGCCAGTGGAACACATGGCTGAAGTCTATACTGGTCAGCCTAGGAGGATCAAATGACATCGAGAAGGACTCCAAGGGCCTATGAGCTAAGTCAGTATACACTACATTGAAAGATTATTCTGAGATTAAGCCAATGTAGGTCTCTAGTACAAAGCTCATAAAACATTCTCGTTTTTCTTGGCTAGTTGATTATTATCCATTGTTAGAAGCTAGGCCCTCTAGAAATAAGCTTTAATTACTAAATTACCTTATCTATCTAGTAGGCTTGAGATGTTGATAAAAGGATAACTCCAGGGTCTTTTCATGTAATCTGTTCCTTTATAGGTTACAAAAATTCAGATTTATTGAACAGAACAAACAGCCTTCCATAGAGAAGTAGCTCAATTCTCAATATGACACTTTTATATTTTCATAAACGATATATAAAACACATGTAGAGGATTAATTACAGGAGAAAAGAGCTCCTGTTCTCAACAATAGTGAATAGAGAAGCGAAGCTGTCTGGTAAAAACCAGTGTGCCCAGATCCTTTCAAAATGATTCACAGGGGAAATCTTTATTAAGGTAATTTTCATTGCTTTGTAAACACAATGAGATGCCATCTTTTTTTGTTTTGTTTTGTTTTGTTTTTTCACTCTCAGTAGATGGAACTTATTATGTAAGACTGGTAAATTCAAAACACACCAAGGAGAAAATGCATTCAGTCGTTATTGTACATTCTAATTACAGCTTTTAGTCTCTTCCTTCATAGAAGTTACAACCCTAGGGCCTCTCTGATGAGTGTAGCATCTAGGAAAGAGTAAGTCAATGAGGATGAAATTAACCATTAGGCAATAACCCACTCTATAATTTTTTCTTATTTAAACAAATATTTTATTACATTGCATGGGCACTGATGCTAGGAGCTGTGGTTGATGGTGAGAATAATTTAATTTGCATTTCCTATAAGTAGTAGATGAAGACACTGAAAATTAAGACAATCTCCATGCTAATCTGATTTCCCAGAACCATGGAGATCACAATATAGTCATTTAGTGTCTTCTTCAAAATCTCTCTCACATCTCAGCAACACAGGAGAGAAAACCTAGCCTAGTGAGAAAATTCTATGGAATAGACTGCTATGAGACAAAGTATTCAAATAAAACTGAAAAGACTGGACTGTTTGTGGGAGGAGAGGCACATGTTTGAAAACTAATTTTTTAGGAAATCCTTAAATGATTGAATTAAGAATACGTTAGGCTAAATGTAGTAATACAGCTGTTATGACCAGATCCCAGCCCATTCCTAGCAGTAGAAATTGTAAAGCTTGATTTTTCTACCAACTCTTGGAACATGTGTATAAACATATAAAGACCTACTATGTGTAGAAATGAGAGGGAACTGACTTCCAAAGGGTCAGGAAATGGGCTGAAGCAGAAGACCAAGCACACCGAATGTCAGGCCACAGACATGTCTCCCCATCCTCTTTCCATTTTCTCCGAGTCTTCAGTCATACTTACTACACAACGTAGGCTGGCCTCATACTCTCAGCAATCTGGAGTTATAAGTCTGTAGGCTAGACCATGTAGATTGTTTGACTATGAACGAGAGGGTTTTGAGAGATAAGAGATGAAAATTTACTATTGTGATTTTTTTTTTATAATTGGGATAAAATAATAAAATCAGAAGTGGTCAATTGATCTGACAAAATGGCCAAGCGTGGGCTCAGGAAATGACAGGGAAGCAAGGGAGAATGCCCTGTTCCTAAGCTGCATAGGGACAAGGAAAATTTTAGAGCAGGTTTGCAAGTCTTACTTGTCTAAAAAGGAGCGCCTACGTGCTCAGAGCTCTTAACGCTCCTTCACTGCAAGATGGAGCTGTCTGTGAACAGTCACTGTACTTTGACTGGTAAATACATGTAGAATTTGTACCTACCCCTGTCTCTGGAAACGTTTTAGCAACTGCTCAAGTGTAAGAGCAGGAAGGATCACATTTTGTCTATAGTAAATGGGGCCAAATATGTCAGGTCCTTGGGCTAAGCAGTTCTTTGTCCTGTGTGCATCTCAGGAATTCCTCTTCAGTCCAGTTCGTCATTCAAGTTCAAACAACCTCCTCCTCCATAAAATTTTCTTGAAAATGAGACAGGAAGACTCTGGTATCTTGGCTTTCCTGTGGCACATGGTAGAGCTTCCACTTAAAATTTAGTTCATTAACCTTCTGATGGAATAAAAGTCCTTGGAGTAAAATTTCCTTCCCGTCTCTTTCTCTGCCCGGCCTCCATGCAGCTCTCTGTATTTGATTTTACCCACTGATCATTAACTTGTTTCTAATTTTGGCTTTGTGAGATAGGGTCTCACTATGTAATCCATGATACTTTTGAACTCAGCTGTGATCCTCCTGCCTCAGCTTCCCAAGTGCGGGGATTAGATATGGTTTTGATTTAGATTTTTTTTTTTAATTTGAAATGTTTTAGGCCAACAAGGCTTTATACAAGAAGAGTGTATAAGAAACGTATAATGACCATCATGTGAAAGTCAACACCATCTTTAGTCATCTATTTATAAAAAAGTAGATACTGTTCAACTATAGACTTTGATAGGAAGCAATTAGAAGACAGAACCTCGCCTTTGCCAGTGAAGACACCCCCTGTGTGAATACTGATAAATACTGATAGGGCTGACAAACCCGGCTTGATCTCCAATCTCTAAATGAATCCAGTTTGTCCCCAAGCCTGATCCCTTCCCAAGCTCTAAGCTGCCCTGTCATTTCCTCCCAGTGCATGGCAGTTGCCTCTCACCCTTGAGAGGCTTCAGTGCTGCACAGACCAATCTGTTCTCTGCAGTGCTTATGTGCTATGAGGAAAGAGGTCTGGTGTGTAGCTTCTCAGCCCCGCCATTGCTTCTGGTTTTCTTCCTCATGGACCAAGCTTCAGCTGCTGTGCTGTGGTTTTTACAATTGAAGCTCTGTTCTTTCTCAGTGAAGCAGAGACTCTGTCCTCTACTCTGTCTCTCTCCATTTGTCTTCGTATACCTGCCGTTGGTCGGGTAGGAGAGAGCAAAAGCCTGCGTCTTAACTGCTCATTGGCTATTTACTCTCAAAGATCCTAACAATACCTTTAAAAAAAGTAAACTTCTGATTTAGTTTGTACAACTCTAACATTTTCTCATTCTTTTTGTAAAGGAATGGTTTTATTCATTATTTTTCTATGTGTTTATATGTTTGTGCTTACATGGGCTTCTGTGTACCATGTGCATCCAGATGCCCTCTCAGGGAGTATCAGATTTCCTAGAAGTGGCCGTGAGCCACTTGCTATAGGCACTGAGAACCAAGACTGCAAGAGCAGTGGGTACTCTTGTTGCTTGGCCTTCTCTTCAGCCCACATAGTCTCTGATTCTTAATGTAACATTTACTCTTTGATTTCCTGAGAAAATATTAGTGCTTAGACTATGCGCTAGGCATTTTAATGAATTCCCATCTTACGGTGATGTTACAGCATTGGGGTAGAAGAAACAGGGCAAGTTGTGTGTAAGCTAGAAAAACTGTATGTTAAGAGTCAACCAAGTTTATCAATATTCTGGTCCAACTCCAGTCTCGGAACTTGGACTAGACGCAAGTGGAATTATCACTTTGTGTTGAAGCAGTGTATTATGTAAGGAGCTAAGTTCCAGTTTCTGTGTGAGAGTGTTTTATTTTCCCACCTCGTGCTATCTCAAGAGAATTTAAGTACGGCAAGGAAAAGACAGAAGCATGCATTAATCTCTGAGACACTGTGCTTATGCCTCTGGTTATCTATTTTGAAGTAATTACCACTTCTCTACATCTTCTTTCTTGAAGCCATTTTTATGTCATAAAATTAATTCATCACCTATTTCACTCTGAATATTATCATTTCAAGTTTGAAAATTTGTTCTTTGGAAATTCTTATTGCCCAAGTCAGCTTATTTGAGGAAATGAATTATCTAAAATGTAATTATTTCTTTCTTGAGCACTTAGCAATTGCTGTCCTTTAGAACCGCGTCTTCACCTTTTCACTGCTAGGCTGAACTTAGCTGGCTTGCAGTCTTATGCGAAGTGCCAGCATAAACAGAAATATATTACAGACCAAGAGAACAAGCCTCTGGTTTATAAGGAAAGCTGGAGTGCTGATTACATGACACAGTAGTTAGAAGGTGGCCATGGCAAGGAAGCAGGAGTAGACTGTGAAGCCAGTGCAGCTGAGGGAGGGGACAGCTGAAACACGAGGGGGCTGAAGATGTCCAGAATACAAGGAGCATGAAGGTGAAGGTGGTGGATTCTTACACAGTTGATGTCACAGCAGCCACTGGGAGAGATGCTTGCATTGCAAAAGACACGTGGGTGCCCCTCCAAGTCTGGCAGTGCTTTATGGGAAATGAAGCACTTAACATTGAAACAGACAGAGGGGGATAAATGAAGGTCTGGCAGAAAAGAACAAACGATGCTGGGTGTCATCATTAACACACATTATTAGGTACAAAACCAAACCAAATTACTTTGTGTTTTTGGTTTCCTTGGATTAATTTTAAGAATCAGATGGGATTTTTGAAGCCACTTAAACAGTGCCATCTTTGTCCACGTTTCCTGTTTCTGCTTTCTGTTGTAGCTATGAAGATGGCCAGGTGGGAGATGCCAATATCAACACACAAGAAGGAGGTATTCACAAAGAGATACTGCGAGTGATTGGTAATCAGACTGCAACTGGTTAACGGACCACCACATAACAGGATTTGAAAGCCTTCCTCGGGTTCAAAGCTGGATTTTGAACTGAAGAAGATGACAAAATAATTTATTGTTATTATAAACAAAATTAACCCTTTGAATACTGATTTTTTTCTTTTCTTAGTATTTCTAAATATTTCATTAAATGCCTAAAATGGTATAAGATTTACCAATTGTAGGGTTATGAAATCTAGTAAATAAACATTATACAGCACTTAAGCTGAAGTTTGGGTTGCATACACAATAAACAGATTGAAAAAACAGTTCTGTGCTGATATTTTTATATGAAATTCTTTAATTAGACATTCGGTATTATATACTGCTGTTTTAGAGGACTGAAACAGAATTCAGGTCATTTTATAATGGCTTCTAAATCTGCCAGACAGTCTGCAAAAAGTACAGTGTCTGCAAACGGCGGTGTGCTCAGTCAGTATGAGTCACACCAACATTCAAATGCCATAGGAGGGATATTCCTATTCTCATGTCTTATAAAACGGCAGTTAGGTCCAGAGGCAGTGCCATGCCAAAAGGCATGTAGCACACCCATCTGTAGATGTCGTGTTTCAGGATGTGTGATTGAGCACACACGTGTATGTTCATACATGTATTTTGACAACAGAGATGAATAGCTTTTTCGTTCTTTGTTCTGTTATTTAGTGAACAGAAAATCACAATAAGCAGTAAGTCTGGACATAAACCATGATATGAGCCAAATTTACTATAGTTCATTCCCATTCACAAAACATAATAATACACCCATTGTTTTCCCAGTAGGTTGAATAACTATTCCACTGGTTAATATAACTAACTTAAAATGTTATCTGAAAGTAAACTAGGGGAAAAATAATGTCCGTGGTGACTTAAATCTGTATTTAAACAGCTAGCTGATTTTTTAAAAAGGACCATAGAATTAACAAAAAGTGTACACTTCTTATTTCTTCCAGTTGAGTTTCTTTGTACCATATTTGTATTTTTATATTTTTCATCTGCTACCTCTAATTATTTTTTTCATATTGAGAAAGAAGGTAAACCTTGAAGTTTCTTTTACATTAAAAGAACACAAGCTTACAAAACTCACCCCCCTCTTTCAGCACATCTTTGTCAAGAGTCATGCGCTCATCCAATCCTTTCTGGTTTTTTTGATTCTTAGATTCACAGGCATTTCAAGTTTTAACTGACATTGTTTATTTTGCTATACGACTGATGCCTTAGGAATCAGGCCATTCATGGAAGCAGTTTAATTAGTGAGTCTGCCACTCTATTGAAACCCTGAATCAAGGCTCATATCTGATTTTAATTTATGTAAACACGAAACACTACAAACGTGTCTTCATTTGCAAGTGTGGTGTGATAACTTGCATGACTATTCCCTTTGGCATAAAAGGTGAGAGATGGGTCATGCATGTTGGCAGGGGTTGCAGTTCAGGAAAATTTTACTGATAATTTGTTTTCCTTATACTGTAAATAACTGAAATGCCACCACTTCTGAAAAAAAAAAAACATAGAATTCAAGAGGTTAGGATACAAATCAGTTTAATAGTGTCTGCTTAAAGAAGCAGCGATTTATTCTGACTTGTCCCTCTGAGCTAAGAAGCAATATCAGCATGTTAGATCCTGTATTGAATGTTCAGTGACCAGTTATTTGAAGACTTGTGTGGCATGAGAATACCATTTGCTTCTTTCTACTGGACCTCCTAAGTCATTGTAACAATATTTTGAGATATTTTCTAGGCAACATAAAAGGGAGTAATTTTATGGAACATTCTACATATGATAATACTATATAAAGATGTGATTCCTAAATTTAAAATGGGGGTGTGTCTTAGGATCCTCCGATTAAGTCAGCAGTGAGGAACCTCCGAAAAGTCTGTAGAGTGTCTTTTAAGTTAATTGAAAAGCCCTGACCTAATCAATTATGGCTTCCTTTAGTAACTGGAATGCAGTACTAGAATCTGAACCAGAAGGGTAACCTGTACTTGCACTCAAGGGAGATAATTTAGAGGAAGGAAAACTGGCATCAGAAACTTCTACTGCCAATTTCAGAGTACAAGAAAATTTGCCTCTCCAAGTAGAAAAGTAATTGGTAGTTTAATACTCATTTAATACAACACAGTGATGGGCATTTTATGATAATTAAATGAGATATTCTTAAAATGATCATCCGAGTTGTATTACTTTCCTAGAATTAGTTTCCCATGATTGCATCAGAACTTTTGTAAGCAAATATTCTAAAAAGAGTAAAACTTTTATTGAACTTTTGAAATTGGAACTCTTATGATACATTAATGAAAATGCTTATATTTCTAAAGGATGTAATTTCTACTAATACCATTAGTAGGTGAATACCCTACTTCCAAAACTCAAGGTCTCTAAAAAGTTCAGAAACAACTATCACCCTATGATACAGTCACCCCATTAGGGGTGATTTTGCTTGATGACTCTGGACATTTTAGATAATGTTGCAGTTTAATTATCGTTGGAAATTGCCTTTTACAACAGTAATATTAGTTCTGTGGTCATTGCTACTCAGTATTACCTACAAAATAAACTTCATTCGTGACATAGAGTAGGATCCATTCTTTCTCACGTTGCTGATTTTATGGAACATTTCATTAGGAAACATTCTCTTTCACTACAAAATAGAGATGAAATTAGTGGAGATTGAAGCAGAGAAAAATGTAATGAGATATAAATAATCCAGTACTGCAGAGTGTGTCACGGTGAAGTACTTGATGTGCCCAGGAGTACAATAGGCTGGTAGCTAATCTCAGTCAGACGTTGGGTTTGAAGGGTTTTTTTTTTTTAATTTGAACTTGAATTTTAAGAGTGCCATGCACTTAGAGTTGCTGTGAAACACTTCGTAGAAATAAAGAGATGAATCCAAACTGATAGGCTTGTTCCTCCTTGGAAATTTTAAGAATTTGCTGTAGAAATCACCCAGTTTTCCACTCCTCTACTGATTAAAAGTGAGCATTGAATATGAAAGTCTATAATCTTTACTATCACTTGAAGACTTTTAGTATGCTTTCCATACTGATGTTTTATTAATCCTAACTTGTTTCAGGACATGCAGTTTCAGAAAGCATTCAGGACCAAATGCATCCACAACTTTCATCACATAGTAATTTAATATCATGAAAGACCACTCAACCTTAGATCATCTCTCATCCAAACAAATAGAGATATCATGATCACATTTGAAGCACATTAAAGAAACATTCTTTTCTATTGGCCTGCTGAATTCTTCATTCTAACACTACCTCAGCATTAAAGAGGGGAATGCTTATCAAACCAAATTGGTTTCCAGAGTAAGGAACAAATACAATTTTACAGACAGAAGTCATCAAATAAATCAACAGTTGAGACCATACTAGACACAGACATTGCCAGCTTACTAATGGCTGTAGCATAGACATCTTAGTCACAGTGATTAATGACATAGTTAACGCGTTATTGGAAAGGATTTAAGTGGCATAATTAGAAGTTAATTAGTTCACTGTAAGGTTCGTTTTCTACATGGATCACTTTCAGTTATGCACACTAAAGAGTTAGAGTTTAAAGAGCAAAACAACAACAAAATAAGCCCAGTTGCTGTGCTAGATTGACATCCTGAATATTCAAATATGTTGACAACTATTGCCTAGGAAATTTTTGTCAGCTCATCTATGGGTTTGATGTATATTGCTACCCAGTAAATTTTTCGTGGGGACTTTGTACACACCATGAACTATAGACTAAGTTTTTGTAGGTCAAAAGTATTTCAAGTAGCTTTTAGAGAAAACATATCCATGAGTGTGAAAAACCTGTCTTGACCAATAGATTACATTACACATTTACCAGCAAGTCAGTGAAAAATAGTACTTATTTACATAGTCAACATCATTTAATGTTCTAAAAACAGTTTCTTCAATCTGCCCAATATTTAATGTATCATTTGAGATTTGAAAAATTGCAGCCACTCCTTTATGTAAACATTAAGGTATGCCTATGTTTCTTTGACTATACACCCTTCTTTACAAGAAATTTCTTGACTTTTGTGCACAGAATAGTATTGCAACCTGCTATTTAGCCTTTGGTGCCTTAGAGTTATTCTAACTATCTAACAATATGTACATAATGTAAATACTGCCAAGAGATCACTAAGGCCAAATATTTTCTCTATTCACTTTTTATTGCACTTGCTTTCTATTGCTCCTTCAGCCTCTTTTATCCAGCTTTGTAATAGTTCTGACATTGTAGCCAATGTAAATGTTTACTTTCAATAAATCTGGATTTGTTCAACAAGTGTATATGTGGGCACTATTTTGCAGACTTGGGGAGGCCCTGGTGATAAATCTTGCTTCTAAGGACTGCGTATTGGATGTTCTCAACAAACTCTAAAAATGATGTTGCCATTTTTGGCTTAAAATATTTTCAAATAAAGAGGGAAAGAGGAAGAAAAAGCTCTTCCCATTATTTCCTCCCCACAAAGCTACAATGCATGTAACTGGCCATGATGCTGCTGCTACAACTTCAGATTCTGAACCAGTTCAGGATCAGATATGCGGGGTTGAAAAGATTTTTATATGTTTATAAGCTTCTACTCATAGTGTCTGGGTTTAATATCAGAATTATCAATAACAATAACCATCGAATGAATGATTTTTTCCTAGAATTATGCATCATTGCAAAGTTATTTTCGGGAGGGCAAGAAGGGAGTGAGACAGAATTTTACTCTGTGGCCTATGCTGACCAAAGACTCCAGTAGTAACTCCGGCTGGCCCAGAATTTACAGTAATCCTTCTGCCCCAGTCTCCTAAATGGTAGAATTACAGACACTGCAACATCATGTTTAGTGACGAGATTTTTAGTGTATGTGCTGTAGAGGCAGACATACCAGATTTTTAAACCACTACTTTTTATAAACCACTTCATTAACTGAATAATATATTAAGTCTATAAATAAATATGCCCTGTAGATAGTAATTGTATGACTACCCATTTATATTCTCACAATAAAATAACTTTTTGCTTGCAGAACATTTATAATTGAGAAACGTACAAGCAACTAACTTCTGTTTCCTAGAGTTAGTTCCATTACCTCTAGAAATAGTTGGTAAGAATGTTGTATGCATGTTGGCAGTTAGTGTAAAGACACAAAGGTTAGGTTTTATATGATGTTCATGGGCTTCTATGTATTTGAGAGACCAAAACAGGTTTGGGAATACGTCAAGAATAGCATAAGCCTGGGGGTGCTGAATGGGAAAGTCAAATACCAATGTTG